ACGCGGAAAGAGAACATAAAAGATCAGCTTTCTCCTTTGCGTCGTGGGTGAGTGAGTCAATCTCCCTGCGCAGAAATGGTAATAATGACTTACAGACATTCTCTTGGGCAACCTTGGCGAGACAACATAACGCATGAGTTCCCCGTGGGAAGCGAAAGGGATGCCGATTTAAATACCCAGAATTTGTTACACTACTGCATTTGCCGCGACGCAATAAGACCAAACTAATGCCGGGATCTGCCGTCGATGGATACTAAAGATGACAAGACGAAAATTTCCGTCTCCTGAAGACTCACCGTCGATGTTGGATCATCATCCAGTGAGAAGCAAACCCCCATGGAGAGAATATATGAAAAAACCACATTCCATCTCAATCCGTTGACGTACAATGCCGCACACGGCGACAGCCTACGGATCAAGCAATGATCCAACGATCATAGGAGGCATTGACGGAGACTTGATATCTCTACGGATGAGAATTCAGCAGAAGGTCCAACAAGGATTGTGCATGATCCTCCACATCTGGAATCCGAGTGGGCGAAGTAACCAGTTGTGTCAGACCATATGCCAAGGTGAATTCGTATAGATCTCCTCGCATGATTGGTAGTACAAGAACTCAGCCATTCGGCGTGGTGGGTGGTGAAATCGCCAAAAAGCACGATATCTGCGATTATGATCAGTAGCAACACGGAATCTGTAGCCATGTAGACGTGATCGAAGAGTCGGACACTCGCGTAATTGCCGCTGTGGGACCTATAAAGACGCGGGAGTGGTCATCATCACTCATACACGTACACACATACACACATATGCGTGTAGCCACAATAAAAACACAGCCATATAATGGACTGGTCTCTGCCTTCAAGACAATCGAGGCGTGGAGAACAGATATCCTCTCTGACGTACACACAAACTCCAGCCAGAGGCAGAAAGGAGTGTTCCAGTTTGTAATCTTAGTAATATAAATAAGATGTATCAGCCATAGAGAACAGCGTCGTGGTGAGAAAGAACAAGACTGGCTTAGCCGTCTCGAGATGGTGACAGACAGCGTTAATAATTGAATGCAGTCGCCTTATGTTACAGAAATCCACAGCGAACGTGGGAACCTGCTGCCGTAGTAATTTTGCTTCGTTGCTTTGTGTAGAATATGTACAGAGCGGAGTTTCTTTCGCCCCCCTGCCTTAAATATGTGTGCAGTCTAAGCATCCACGCCCAGGAGGAAGATAGTTTTGGTGTGGATGCCCAGTGAGGAATTCTCCTCGATTATTGATGCCATTATCAAACCACTTGCGGTAGATTTTGCGAGTGTTCTTAGATCTAAAACAGATATAGAACTGTTTTCGTTGCAAAATATCTGGTTCAATATCATGGAGCAAGAGTAGGTAGAGAAAACATTAAACTATTCCATAAAAATCATAAAAATTAATTTAATAATTCAAAAAATGGTACATTACAATCTACTAAATGTCACACTTATATAAACATACATCGTACTGCCTCTATAACATAAATGCATAAACATAAATGCGCGAGACGAAAATGACAGTTGTCTGGGCAGCAACTCAATTCTAAGCCATTGTCCAATCCTACCTCAACGATAAATTATGGGAAATAACAAATAAATACAAGTATACTTCTTCCATATCATTTATCATATACTTATTTCTCATATCGCTCAATGAACTAATATGGAATAAACACAAAATAAATTGATGCACTCTATCCGAACTCCTTTGAGATTCTGTCCAATATCTCTAGCACGTCGCATATACTGACCGCATAACACCTTATATCTTCATCCTTTTTAGTCTTCAAATTGGCATAATACTGTTTTGTATACACATCCGTCATTTTATTGTAATATTTTTTCGACTTCGACCTGCAGTATTGTATCTCTTCAATATGTAGTGTAGACAGTTTTCGTCTAGACATAGGAGGCTGTGTTTATTCTTCATGATTTCTGAGTCTCCCTCCTCCGTTGGCGGCGTCTTTTTGTGGTCATCTGGGTTTCTGTTTGTCGAGAGCTTCATGCTCGAGTGGCATTGACGGAGAAGCTGGCCTGCAGTTCGTAACGCCTTAAGTTTGAGGTTTAGTGACACTGCAAGAGATAAATAAACTCTTCAATAAGCTAACGTGACTTTTCATTCGCTATTCGTCTTTAATATATTCATTATAATTTTAAACGTAAAAGAAAAATTAGTAAAAAAACAAGAGAGTTTTATTTTATTTTTCTAAGGAATTACTAACGCAAACAATAGTTCACAAATAAGGATTATGACAAAGTCTCTTTACAGACGTTATTTATTTAATGTCTGAAACTAATAGGCAACGTAATATTTTAATTGAGCCATATAGTTTTGAGGTGTCGCCATGGTCGTAACATGTTTAAATATTTATAATAGAAAGATGACTCGAATTAAAGACACACGTGTAAGCTATTTTCACGTTTTAAAAAATAGTTACAGTTGGATGTGTAAACATTGTAAACTATTTCTTTTATTCCGATGGTGAAAAGAGGAGGGAGGAATTACGGCATGCATGCACACACTCTCCGAAACCTATCCTGTAGACTAAAGATACCGAAAAACTGGCTTCTTTGTGCCTGTGTTCGAGGCTGACAAATCTGTTTTCATCCAAATCAAGGTTAGCAATAAGCTTCTTGGCATGTCTCTGTGATGACTGAAACGCTACTAGGTGATCATATGATTTTATCATCTAAATCTCTAGTAGTATTTGCACTAGAAAAAGTTTTCTTTTTATTTTTAGACTTCGGAAGAGCCTACCAGAGTGGACAAGGTAACAAGGTGCTTGATGGCAAACCCCAGCCTTATTTGGAATAAGAACTGGGCTGATAGTGATTGCACTCTCTTTATAGGAATTCTAGTGCTATGTCAGGATGACTGTCTGTCGTACAGTTTTGTGTAGCTTTCCCGAGGTTGTTCAATATGTTTATGGACACTTGCTTAAAAACTTTGAAAATCATAACATGTAGGTTATAATAGTACTTAAACGTAAAAAAACATATTCTTTTGATGGGATTGAAAATCATCCAACTTCGTCATGAGGAAGCCTTATCGTCACAGCCTTTTAACCCTTCAAACCCCTTAAAATTTTAATATTCCTAAGCGGTTGCATGCGTCCCTAAAATCCCGAGCAGTCCCATGCGACCGCATCCACCTACAGCACTATAAAACATAAAAACTTATATTTAGAGACTACTTTTTTATGAACAAGTTTGGCATTATAGAATCTATACAAAATTTTCTATTTTATAGTCTAAACAAAAGTCAGATATTTTTCATTTTTTAAACATCGCATACGACCGCACCCACCCACAGGGGTTCTTTAAATCATAAAACTTATATGTAGAGACAACCTTTCTATGAAGAAGCTTGCCATTGTAAAATATTTACAAAATTCTCTATCTTGTGGTCTAAGCAAATCAGTTACTCTATGAATTTTTATTTTTAATCTACTGTATAATTGCACCATTTTCGTACGGTCGGTAAATGTCGCAAATTTACAGTAGAATAAAAATAAAAATGCATAGAGTAACTGACTTTTGTTTAAACTATAAAATAGAGAATTTTGTATAAATTCTAGATTAGAAAATTAGTCTCTAAATATAAGGTTGGGATTTGACGGAATATCAACGTGGTCGGATCCAACCATAAGGGGTCTGTTGAACATAGGCCTCCTCTATAAAGTGCTCAGGGGGTATGTTTGACGTAGTTACCACTCTTGGTTAACAGTAGATCATTTGTCATACATTTTGTACATGCCTGTGCCATACTTAGCTCCAAATTGCTTCAAAGTTGCTAAGTGTGGCACAGACATTTGCGTATGTGCGCAAAGTTTGAACACATATTTACACTTTTTTTCACATTTTTGGTCTCTCAACGCACGTTGATGTAAGCAAAGATAAAAGTTTAAGCGGTCTTCCCCATTTATTTTAAAAGAACAACAGCCACTCTCCTAATAAACGGAGCTAGCACCTAAAAAACTGTTTGAATTTAATATGTTTTTTTTTATAGTTTATTACAATGTTTGTTTACACAAACACACTGCGGTCAGTCAAGCGCAACTGCGAACAAGTGACTCAGGTGTGCTATCAAAGGTGTCGTACCTGCCGAGGTAATAAAATGAATTCACTAGGGCTGAAAATTATTATACAACTTGTATATTGCATATAAATTAAAAGTAGTGATTGTCAGTCAGCTAAATATGGGGAACGAGCTGGTCAGCCGGCCACCAACGGATGTACAAATAATTAATAATGTGCAATTCATTTACTACACTTCAAATTTTTTGTGAGCGTATTAAATATTGTTTTTTTTTTTTCATTAAAAATACTATCAGGACAAAGGCAAAAAAGTCATAAAACTAAAGCGTGCCAACTTTGCCACATGTTTTTTGAGTTTCGATTAATTCTTGAAGAATAGGATTTTAAAATATTTTAGGTGAAAGGTAAAGAGAATGTTGTGGCAGATGCACTGTCTAAACATTTTATTACGTCGAGTGAGTTAAATAATATGAATGAACAAATCTTGACTGTGAGACCTAGAGCGCAAAAGAGAAGAATGAAAGAGGATGTAAACAAGGAAGGGGTTGTGACTAATAATGACACTGGCGAGTGGCCTCCTCAACCATGATTCGTGGAATTATTAAGACAAACGTATGATTCCTTTGAAATGAAACTAGTGAAAGAGATATTATAAAAGTATTTAGAAAAAAAAGACTTAGTCAAGGAATAACGACATTGCTATATATTTGTGCCAAATAAAACGCTATTGAATTTGCATCTAAATTAATAAAGTTTCGTGAGATAATAATAATAATAACCCCCCAAGTCTGCAGGGTCTTCGCGGGTCCAGCAATCGGCACCCGCCACTGGTGGAGTACGCCGCATGCGTTGGACAACTCAGATGAACAGCAACGCATTGCGGGCGTATTTTAGGGCGAAAGGGGGAGCAACTGGAGATGTTGCGTATCGGGCAAGGATGCATCGACTTTTTGCTGAGCTGGAGCCATCTGTAACCGTCACCGAGCAAAACCTGGCAGACCGAGTTCGGTATATCTTGCGCTCAAATACATTTGATGTCACCGAACTCGAACGGCTACGACGTGAGGCTGTTCCTTCATCGGGTGAAAATGCTGCGGCTGAGGATGCGGCGCCACAACTTGCTGAGCAAACGGCAAATGTGGATGCCGCCGTGAATACGCCAGTTGTGGTTGATTCAAACGATGATGGAACAGTCTTCCAGGAACTGGAACTAGAGCAAATGGGGAGTACATTGGAGGAGGCGATTGTGGAAACGCGCAGTACGCCTCTCGAAACTCGACCGCGACTTCCCCGCTTAGCCCTAAGCAAGCGGAATCGGGCTGTCGTGAGGGCTCTGAACCCAATGCTGGTTACATATGTGGAAGCCAGCCGGGACCTTTGCGAGACGGACTCAATTCTTTTTGGCGCCGCACTGGCAGTCTGCCGTATTATAGGCGCCAAACTTTCTACGGCTGGACGCGCTACTGGACAAAGTAGTGCTATCCCAGCCTGGAGAATAAAAATTGAAGAACGTATCGCAAAGGCTAGGGCCCTCATCGGCAGACTGATATGCTTCAGGTCAGGCAATACCAGGCCAAGGATTGTGCGCACCGTCATGATGGCGTTTGCTGGGACAAATGTTAGTTTATCCCAGCCGGATATAATGCAAAAACTGACGGACTATAGACGACCTGAAGCAAAGAATAGCTGCTTGGGGAAAGCGGATTCAGCGATATACCGAGCGGTCGACACGGTTCAACAAGAATCGTCTTTTCCAGAGTGATCAGAAGAGGCTCTATAAATCATTGGAGCGACCAATATTAAGTGGAACGGGCCCTGCACCAAATCAGGCCGACACGGTCGCATTCTGGCGCAGCCTGTGGTCAGAGCCCGTAAACCACAACGAGGGACCTTGGACGGAAGTTGTGGCGAGTCGAGTCGATTACGCCCATGGACCCCGTCATCATAACGCCGGATGACGTAGCTGAGGCGGTCCGTAGGGCCCAGAACTGGAAAAGTCCGGGGCTTGACGGGCTGCATCACTACTGGCTGAAGGGGTTCATGGTGTGTCACGCTGTGCTCGCTCGACAGTTTCAAGAGGCTCTCAACCAGAAGTCGCTCCCAAGCCTCTTCACTACTGGGATCACTCATTTGGTTCCTAAAGATCAGGGTGCCACAGACCCGAGCAAATACCGCCCCATCACGTGTCTACCGACTATATACAAGACACTAACATCCATTTTGAGCGCGAGAATCGCTCGTCACCTGGACTCAAATCAGGTGATGTCGCGCGCTCAAAATGGATGTCGGGGCGGCAGTCGTGGAACCAAGGAACTACTCCTCATTGACGCGGTCCCTGGCAAAGTGGTGAAACGCAACCGTCGGAACTTCTCCGCCGCTTGGATAGATTACAGAAAGGCATTTGACTCGGTGCCCCATACATGGCTAAAGAGGGTCCTCGAGCTGTACAAGATTGACTGTACAGTTCAAGACTTCCTCGAGCAGTGTATGGGGCAGTGGAGTACGATCCTCTGTCATCTAGGCGAGCGGATGACGGCTGCGGAAAGCCGCATAAGGATAGGAAGGGGTATATTCCAGGGCGACTGTCTGAGTCCAATCTGGTTCTGCCTCTCTTTGAACCCTCTCAGTACTTTACTGGAGGGCTCCGGGAGGGGATTTCAGCTTCGGAAAGGAGGTACAAAAGTGACCCACCTTTTCTATATGGATGATCTCAAATTATTCGCCTACAGTCGCTCCCATCTTATGGAATTGCTAAACATCACTTGTAAATTTAGCAATTCTATTAGAATGGAGATGGGGACGGATAAGCGTGCGGTCCTCCATGTTGAAGGGGGAACGGTCGCTAACTCTGAGGGCATAGACTTATCTATGCCCGTCAACTTAAGGGCCCTTTCCGAGGCTGAAACATACCGATACCTGGGTATGTCACAGAACATCGGTATCGATGAGGCTGGTATGAAACAGTCAGTTTGCGACGTGTTTTATGCACGCTTGACCAAAGTGCTTAACAGCCTTTTGTCCGGTGTGAATAAGACACATGCATATAACGGTTGGGTCATGCCTGTCCTCATGCATACCTTTGGCATACTCAGGTGGACTCAGACTGAACTTAACGCGCTGGATAGAAAAGTCCGCACTCCAATGACGTCCCATAGGATGCATCATCCGAGATCGTCGGTAATGAGGCTGTACTTGCCGCGGAAGCATGGTGGTCGTGGCTTTTTGAGCGCGCTCACCATGCATATTTGCGAAGTGTGCAGCCTCCGTGATTACATCCTGGTGAGATCGGATGATCCATTCTATAATGACGTTATTTCTAGTGATAAAGGACTTACCCCTCTATCCTTAGCCAACGAGCAATGGCAAGACTCGGCAGTACAGAGCATTTCCGACCGGGAGACCGTATGGAAGGAGAAGGAGCTCCATGGGAGGTACTACAGGGCTCTACATGAGCCTCACGTAGATACAGCCGCCTCCCTCAACTGGCTACGTTTCGGTGACCTTTTCGGTCCGACCGAACCTGTATTGCACAGACAAAACCGAGGGTTTTGTCTGTGCAATACAGTAGTAATACAGGATCAGGTTATTAAGACCAACAACTATCGGAGATACATCCTAAAGGATGGCACTGTCGACGTCTGTCGAGCTTGTCGCCATCCCGGGGAGTCACTTAGGCATGTCATCTCCGGTTGTTCGGCGCTTTCTAACTCTGAGTACTTGCACAGGCACAACCTAGTAGCCAGAATTCTACACCAGGAGCTCGCTCCGAAATACGGTCTCGTGGACCGAAAATTGCCGTATTACAAGTACTTGCCGGAAGTCGTGCTCGAAAATGACCGCGCCAGGCTCTACTGGGACCAGGCCGTCATCACAGACAGGACTATTCTTGCGAATAAGCCTGATATTGTGCTGATGGACCGGGCACAGTCAAGGATATTTTTGATCGTCATTACTATTCCGTATGACGAGAACCTCGTGAAAGCCGAAACAGATAAACAAACAAAATATCTGGACCTGGCTCACGAGGTGACCGACATGTGGGGTGGTATGCCGACCGAATTTATTCCTGTAGTCGTCTCTGCGAATGGGCTAATCCCAGTCAGCCTCTCGGGTCATCTGAGGTGACTGGGGCTCCGGGCTCAAATGCAGAAGGCGGTGCTCCTCGATACCGCCCGCATCGTCCGCCGGTTTCTTTCCCTTTCCCCCTAACCCTCGGTCGTTTGGTCTCCCCTGCCGAGGGGTCCTATCTGGTTGGATCTTATTTATTTATGTAATTTTTGTATTTATTTTATTTTATTGATATTTATGTACATTTATCTTTTCATTTTAAAATTAAATTGAATGAATATACTTTTATTGTACACCACAAACAAATATACAGTTAACAAAACACAAAAAAGATTATAATATTATGTAGCGATCTCTTCCAGGCAACCAAAGGTGTAAGGATTAGAACAGTGAGAACTAGGTAGGTGGTGTAATATAAATATACATAATATAATAGCGATTTATAGACAATACATGCAATAAAATAACATACAAATAACTGATACATGAAATTATATAAATTGCTAAAATATAATAAAAATAAAGTAAAACATATGTAAATATAAATATACATACTATATAAATATATAAACAAACTTACACATTTACCCATATATATATATATATATATATATATATATATATATATATATATATATATATATATATATATATATATATATATATATACATACATAAAAAATCCTCAAACAATAATATAAAGCAGATAAATACAATAGATACATAATCACTTAATTTATTCTAACGGTGTTCAAACGACTGAGACAAGTAATGCTCTTTAAGTAGTCGCTTAAATATAACAATCGTTTGTACTTCACGTATACGCAACGGTAGGGCATTCCAGAGCTTGATAGACTGGACAGTAAAAGATTTATTAAAAAAGGAAGTATTGTGAGTTGGAACCCTTAAAATGAATTTTCTTGAAGAGCGTAGAGGTTCTTCTGGAAGCCCTACAAAACTAAACTTCTCCTTGAGATAAGGAGGTGTAGAAGGGTGAAATAATACACAGTACAGAATAGAAAGAATATGCATATTCCGGCGAAGTCGGATAGGTAACCACTTGAGACGTGAGCGAAATTGGGAAATATGGTCAAATTTGCGCAATCCAAATATGAACCGAATACTAGTGTTTTGAAGTCTCTCAAGCTTATTTAGCTGGTCCTCGGTTATGTCTACATAGCTTGCGTCAGCATAGTCTAGAATCGGAAGGAGAAGAGACCGTGCGAGCATAATTTTTGTAGGAATGGGAAGAAATGATTGAAGGCGACGCAGTGAACTAAGAGCGACAAAGGTTTTCTTACTTACCTCATTCAGTTGGCGTATCCAATTTAAGAAGTTATCGAAATAAATGCCAAAATTTTTGACACTGTCAAAGTAAGGGATTACAATTCCATCGAATTCGATAGGTGGTACGGAGGACCAGTCAATTCTTGAGATAAAGCTCCAGCTACCAAAAATAATGGCCTGTGATTTTTTGGGATTGACATTTAGACCGTATGACTTACTCCACTCATGAATAATATTTAAATCGTTATTCAATGTAGAGATTGCATTCGGCAAATTCTCAAGAGTTGACTGGGTGTAAATCTGAACATCATCCGCATACATGTGGTAGAGAAAAGATATTTTATGAGTGATTGAATTAATGAATGATAATGGAAAAGAGTAAAGGTGACAACACGTCGCCCTGCGTCACGCCTGCAGTAATATCACACCAAGATGAGTGAGTTTCATCAACACGAATACACTGCCGACGGCCACAGAGATAACTTTGCAACCAGTCAATTACTGATGGAGATATGTTAAGGGAACACAATAGACGTGAGTCAACACGTGGTATATCGAAATCAACAGTATTGAACGCATTACTGAAATCCAGCAAGGTCATGACTGTGAGTTGTTTATTATCCATACCCCACCGTATGTCATCAGTAACTTTGATTAAGGCAGTAGCCGTACTATGACCAGGACGGAAACCTGATTGTAAAGGATTCAACAAATTGTGCTTATTAGGGAAAAGGGTTAGCTGTTGGCAAATAAGTTTTTCAAGGACTTTAGAAAGGAAAGGTAAGATCGAGATGGGACGGAAATCAGAAAGGTTGACAGGATTGGATCTCTTCGGAAGGAGTATAACATGTGCACTCTTCCAGGCTTGAGGGAATTTTTAACGAAGAGACACATGCATTAAGTAAATAAGTAATAATAGGAGCGATAACATCAAGGAGAGGAATAATCATATTACGGCTAATGTTGTCGCCACCGACAGCATTTGAGGAGATGGATAATATGATCTTCTTAACATCACATACAGTAAACTGACTAAAAACGAACGGAGGATAATTAGGAGTCGGAGTTACAGAAAGAGAACGAAATGTTTGCAGTTTCTGTTCTCTATTAAAAGAGTTAGAAGGATTAGAAAAATGTTGATTTAATAGTTCAACATCAACACAAGGGGTAAGCATTAGGGATGTTCTTCCAACTCCAACTGTTTTAAAAAACTTCCACACCCTAGATGAGTCGCCGTTCTCGACTGATGTATGAATATGGCGTCGTTGTGCATCTCTACATAATGTATTGCAGCGATTCCTGATTTTGGCGTATTTCCTTTGGTTTTCCTCTGTTTTATTCCTCTTAAGCTTTGACAATGCTACATTTTTCTTCAAGATAAGTTTTTTCAGATCACCAGAGAGCCAT